ATCCATTGATTCACATTAGTTATAGTCCACCTTGTTAAGTATGACACTTAACTCGGAGGAACAGTTCAACAAGTGATTTCAGCTTTATTTCAGTGAGAACAGCATAAAGGCTTAGTCTTGTAAGGACTAGACCAGCTAGACAATTCAATAGGCAAAACGGCAACTTATATACAATTCTGGCTGAGGTAGCCACACCCACAATGCTTACAGTATGCAATCACACTAGGTACATAACAACCAATCATAATCAAGATATAACGTCCAATCAGATTCATTCCCTCCAGAAGGCACACCATTTGTTAGTATCTACATGTTTACAATCCGCATAATGAGCGATGCTAGAATATGCTTTTACCATTATGTCTCTCAAGACATAACATTATGCTAATGAGTTATGCTAATGAGCTCCTGCACCACTTTTTCTACAAAATGACCCCTGCCTATAAACAACATATTGTTCTAGATCTGGGTTTTAATGCCACATGCTTGATTTCAACTAATTTTTATCTTCAGCAAAATCCACCCATTGCCTTCTAATAATCTCTAATTAGGCATAATGGACACAAAGTAATCAATTCCAAACCCACTGTAATTGCTACTTTTAATTTTTTGTTGCCTGTAAATTAATCCCTGGCATAATCCAAAATGTAATCTATCCCACTCCTTGCTCTGTAAAATTTAATTATAACTGTTGCCAGTAACAAGAGAACGCTTCAAGCTTTATGCCTCAGTGAAACATCTACAGGCTTCCGGTTCATTCACTAGCAGGTAAAAAGCATTGCTTTCACTGTAGCATGATGGACGACATATTTTTCCCATGTGGGAAACATAAAACATCAGATGGTTCTACCAATAAAACTCTACCAAAGAGTCATCGTCCCACAACTATGAAACTGTTCCCTTCATTTAGAACTTCCAAAGCCCGAAGTCTTCTTGAATGCTTTAGTGACAGGCTTACCAACCTCCTGGTGAGTCCTGGATAGGGCTTCCAGGGATGTCACATTTAGGTTCGCTTCAGAAGTGATGCCATGCCATTGCTTCAACTGTGCCCCACGTCATGTTGCCAGACATCCCCGGTTTCCTGCCAGGTGCCAACCACCAGCTAGCAACAGGCTTGGAGTTCTCCCAGAGTGACAGCTGATTTCCAGACTACAGAGTTCAGTTTCCCTGGAAGAAACGGCGCCTTAGGAGAGTGGACTCTACGGCACCACATCCTTGTGGAGATCTCTCCACTCCCCAGATTTCAGCCTCCCCAGACACTACCCCTAAATCTCCAGGAATCTCCCAGGCTAGAGTTGGCAACCTAAACTAGTAATGAGCCATTATCATATTGACTGTAACACGTTGGAAATTTGGGTGGCTGCTGAAATTCATGTGGGACTGTTGACCATAGGCCAGCACAGCGTATAAAGGTCAACAAGGTTTTTAAATGAAAATATAAATTTTGAGAATGTAAATAGAAGAAGAAGAAGAAGAAGAAGAAGAAGAAGAAGAAGAAGAAGAAGAAGAAGAAGAAGAAGAAGAAGAAGAAGAAGAAGAAGAAGAAGAAGAAGTTTTATCGGGAGGGATATACCAAATGCCTCTTATAGGGGGGAAATGAAATATAAGTGCCATGCAAACATGGTAAAGCCAAGGGTTGGTACAGGGGAGGGTTGTTTTTTTTTAACACACGCACACTTGACAGGACTTCTCAGACCAAAGCATTGGGATGGATCCAACCAGCTTTTCTGTGAGTGAAAAGGACCACCCAAAAAGACTATACTGGGGATCGTGGGACCTGCCTGGACAAAAGCCACAAACAATGAGGGGCTGTGGTGAGGAGAGGAATTGGGTAGCCCTAAGTTAAAAAGCTGGCTGGATCTGACCCATTGGTACACACAAAGACATCAGGAAAGTTGATCTCACATATCAGATAGCTCACAGCCAGGGCTTCAGTAGTGATAGTTACTTCTGGAAAGCTGTTTTCCATTTAAAATAGGTTGGTGAGATTGTTATTTAAGAAGGCTTTGCATGGGTAAGTTTTCAGATTGATGAGCTGACTTATGATGGACGGATTTTTAAAAACATTTTGTAGCTAACTCATTTTTCTTTGTGACTATAATGAGGGGTTGTTCTCCCCGCAGGCTTTTCACTAATGTTGTTATATTGTGCCATTAGTCGCCCTGAAGGCACACAAGAGCCGCATTTGGCAAGCAATTTGAAGTGGAGCAAAATCAATAAATAAACCAAGTTTCAACAAGATCCCCCAAAGTACGAAGAAATGACAAATACATTTGAGAGTAGATGCCTGAAGCGACAAGGAGAGGGGTTTTTTCTGGCAAAAGTTTATGGCCGGGAACTGACAGAAAACTATTATTCCAATCACAAATTTCTCCTGAAAAATCCAGATGTATTTTCAAGGTCATCTGGTGGAGACAGCTTGACAGTACACTGTGATACGATCTCTGCTTACCATCCCTCTATTGCATATATATTCTGACTATGTATGTGCAGTTAATATTCACACACATATCATTCAAATGCCTGATTGGTGAAATACTGTCTATTTGAAAGGATGACCAGGTTCCCCTCCCCACAACAGACACCCTGTGAGGTAGGTGGGGCTGAGAGAGCTCTGACAATAACTGCTCTTTTTCAAGAACAGCTCTGATCAGAGCTACGGCTTCCCCAAGGTCATCCAGCCAGGTGCAAGTGGAGGAGTGGGGAATCAAACCCGGTTCTCCCAAATTAGAGTCCACACACTTAACCACTACACCAAACTTGTATATAAGTTATGCTTTTATACAGTAATAAAAAGCCTTTTATGTATAACCTTTGCAGGGTGGTTTTTCTTCCTTTTCAGTAAATATGGTACCGCCTTTCTTGCGGCCCATCAGTTTTGTTACCAGATCCTATTTTAACATTGTGAAATGTTTTGGTAGGTAAATTTTAAAGTAGGCAATCCCTGGGCACCCCATCCCAATCAAAGGACCATAAAATGGTATCTCCAGTCTCTTATGAAGGCTGTTTTTTCTCATTTGCCTCTCTCTTCTCCATCAACCTTTATGCTGATCTTGGTGGGCACTGCTTTTCTCTGCTATGGACTTCAAAGACCACGTGAACCAAGAATTACTGTTTTGTGAGAGCAGCACAGCAAAAATAACACCTGTTGTACAAAACTGAGAGTCATTTGTTTGCAAAATGATTTGCAAATTCCAGGGAAAACGTGGACTGTGTGGTCTAATTACACAAGCACTTCTCTGGTGTTCTGGTAGAAACAGGCTTGTGTGGTTTTCTCATTGCTGGTGCAGCTGATGATAGGGATTCCACATGGCAAGTTTCCCTGCATTTTCCCTACCCCCGACCCCCAGTTCCCCATGTCAGCCATTCCCCCTATTGCCACTGGGGGAAGTTTAAAAACCAGCAACTGTCATCTCATGATGATGTTATAAACTATCTGTCTACCAGTTCTCTGATTTTCCAGCTTGCTTTCTTTTTTCTTTTTCTTTTTTACGTAATTCTCTAGACTGTTTTGTTGTGAAGATATAAGGGGAAAGGCAACGAAAGAGGATAAAGACTTACTATTTTTTTTCCCATTTGTCAGCTGTCGCCAGCTTTCGCAATACATATTCCACCCTCTTTGTGTGTGTTTGTGTTTTAATTGTTGCTGCACAGGACAGTAGGAGGAAGAGAGGTGTATCCTTCTGTGAGATTAGCTATTTCTCAACCGGCAACAAAGCCACAGTGTGAAGACTGTCCTTGGAAAGGGTGAGGCATGTGGCCACATCCAAAGCCAAAAATCACTGCCAGTAATTCACAAGCTACTGGCAAAAACCCTGGATGACAGAAAGCTTGAAAGGTTATGTACCTGTTGAGTGCCACTCCTGGGACATGAGCCAAAGCAGAATCCATTTAGGGCTGCCTGGAAGGTGGTAGCATCTCAGGCTGGAGAAGACAGGAGAGCTGTCGTGCTCACCCTCCATCACGTCACAGTTGAAAACAGGGACATGTTTGTGATTCCCTGATTCTCATACACATGATCCCTGACCACGCTCTCCCCAACCCCCATCCCCTTGCTGAAGGCTCTACCCTGCCTTCAGTGTACTGCATTCTTTTGCTTTCCAACCACATTTCTTTCCTTCCAGGCTTTCGCCAGCCTCCTTCTCTCAGGAGAGCTGCATCTCCAGGTTGGATTTTAAATCGATCCATCAATCTGAGGTTTCCTCTCGGCTGACAAAATCTTCTACAAGCTGCATCTGATAGCAAAAAGGTTAATTTCCGGAGTAAAGATTTCCATCTTGACAGGGGTCTCAAAACTCCTGTTCTCCTGTAACCTAGTTGTTCAAGCCCATGCATGACACCATTCGCATCAGATGTATAGACTGATACTCAAACAACATGTGTGTTATGGATGTGTATAGGTTTTTATTGAATTATTCTACTCTCTTTTTTTTGCTGTCAAGTTGCAGCAGACTTATGGCAACCCCGTAGGGTTTTCAAGCCAAGAGAGGTTCAGAGGTGGTTTACCATTGCCTGCCTCTGAGTAGCAACCCTGGGCTTCCTTGGAGGTCTCCCAACCAACCCTAACCAGAGCTGACCCTGCTTAGATAGATCTAGCCTGGGCCGTATATTCTATTTTAATATTTTTTCCAGTGTTGAACTGTTTTGATGTTCACCGCCTATTAGGAACCTATTTGGGTGGAAAGGCGTCATAAATATATTTTGAATAAATAAATGGAATACACCTCCGTATATCTTGTAGTAAGTAAACAGGGGTGGCTCATCCCCATCACCAAAGCAGCAAAGGCAGTCCAGTCTTATCTGAAGAAGTTAGTAATGACCAGGGTTCATTTCATAGAAAAAGAGGTGCAGGAGCTCATTGGCATACTCATTAGCATAACTTATTTGCATATGTCACACCCCCTGACATCACCGGAAGTGTGTCAGAAGGCAACACCCACTGCTCAGGCTCCACTGGGCTGTTTTAGATTGCTAGCTATTGGGGGGGGGATGTGCAGATCTGCCCTCGCAGAGGAGGGAGAGCTTGTACCTGAATAAAACTTGGTCTTAAAGGTGCCACTGGACTGTTTTGGACTGGGGGTCGGGGGGGTCTGTAGCTTACCTAGCTGCTTCTTGCTCTGACTGAGGGCTGCTGGGAGCAGGGGGTGGGGCTTGTTGCATGTGCCTGCCCCCTGGGCTCTTTACTGCCGGAGCTCCGCTCCTGTGCGCTCCTGCAGGAAATGACCCCTGGTAATGACTCATGAGAGCTCATACCGCCACAAATTTCGTTACTCTTTTAAGGTGCTCCTGGTCTCTCGCTCTTTTCTACTGCTCTAACCTTATTTATGTGTTTGTTTGTTTGTTTTATTTATGCCTCGCATAGTACCAAATGTGAAATGGCAGCCTATGCGCTACATAGTGCCTTAGTGTTTGTGTGCCCACATTAATATGCATGCATGCTGTAGACAGGGTACATTTCATACACACACACTCCAAGATTTAACTTCTGGAGACCCCAGGAAGGGAGCTACACTCTGAAGAATGACAGCACTAACAATTCACAATGAGTGGAACAAAGTTTGAATCCAGGCCAACACAGCTGCCTACCTGGACCTAATTCACAATGAGAACATTTCAACAAGTCATTCCCTAAAGGGTAAAAAGTCAGGATAATATATATTGTACTCATCCTGAGTGAATGTAGATGTAGAACAAACTTGCAGAAGCAGAAGAAATAAGCAGTATAGCATGGACTGTACCACTTCAGACCCAGGTACAGGATCACATTTTTTGAATGTTTCCCTCTGTTAAAAGCCTCCTGCAAATATAAAACCAACATCATACCCAAAGAGACGGATATAATATTTCTCCCTGTCATGCAAGCTTTCTGGTTGCAGGGAGTTTTTTTCTTTGAATGTGAAGAAATATTCAGTGCTGGAATCCACCACCTTCAGTCTAAAGTGGTATGGTCTATACAATCACCTTATTCTCTTGACTGTGTGAATCAGGTTTTTAAAAATTCCAAACAATTCATTCAGAAATTGGAATGTGCAGTTTGATGTCATTTTCAATTTCTTTAGCACATTTCTGTCTCTTCCTCCCGTTCCCCACCTCTGTTCCAGGTAAGCATATGCACATTGAGCAGACATTGCCAAAAATGCAATCTTGATGTAATTGCACATCAGTTCATATCAAGATTCTTTTTGTATAGTGTTTTACGTATATACATATGTATACCTTCACATTAGGGGGAGGGGGACTGTTACCTGCATGTTTTCCCCAGCAGAACAAACAGAAGCTTAAGAGGAGGCAGATCAGATCATGAAAATGGTACAGGGGCTAAGTGTTAGAAAGTCTCAAATGACCATGAGCAAAAATATATTAACTAATTCTGAGCAATTAAGAATCTTCCCAAACTCCAGCACAGTTATGTCAGATGAGTTTGAGCGTAACAACTAATTTGTCTACTGCAATCACCTTGGCATTCCATATTCATTAGTTCAATTAGTGTCAAGACTTTGTCTTCATTATACCTGTGCTTTGGAATCCATTAAAAACCACTCGCCCAAATCACATGATAACAAAAGCTGCCTGTCAATCATGCCATGCTGAGTTATTGAGCCATCTGCTGTAGAGTAACAAACCAGTGAATTCAGAAGCAGTGGCAAATGTAACTGGCAAAAAGATAATCCGCTTAATCAGTATCCATTTATCAACCGAAAAGAGTGCACCTCTCAGACTTTGCTTGCAGGTTTCATGACAGGCATGCCTATGTCAAACAAACTAGTTAGACATCAGCCTAATAACTGTAACATTCCTATTTGTGTCAAACAATTATTTCTGGCTAATTGTCTTCTTTACTGTGGATACAACTATCAAGTGCTATAGTTCTGGAGGCTAGGGATCTCTCACAGCAGCCTCACCGAACTACAACTCCCAGAGTTCATTGAAAGACATCAAAAAGGTTAACTTTATCACATAGGTATACATTGTACAAACACAGAACCCCTCCTATGAAACACCTCTGAAATAGAGATGAGCTGGGAGAGAAATAAGTTTCGTAACCATTTTCTCCTCCCATGAAGCATAGGCTTTTCCCTCTTTTCAGCAATTTTTTGCACTGCTTTATGGGAAGGTGTGTGTGTTCACTGAGTGTCAGGGAAAGAAGGAATACAGCTTGTTGCCAAAGAAACCACAGCAATACTCCCTCAAAATGGGGTACTCATCCAATTGAAAGTAGGGCCGTGCTGAGGAATAACCTTCTTGCTTAGCTATCCCATTTTTGTCCTGCTCTTTGTCCAAAGTTATCAGGGAGGCATACATGACTCTCTCTCCTCCTCAGTTTTCTCCTCAAACTTTTTTGTTGTTCAGTTGGTGTCAAACAATTATTTCTGCCTAATTGTCTTCTTCACTGTGGATACAACTATCAAGTGCCGTAGTTCTGGAGGCTAGGGATCTCTCACAGCAGCCTCACCGAACTACAACTCCCAGAATTCATTGAAAGACATCAAAAAGGTTAACTTTATCACATAGGTATACATTGTACAAACACAGAACCCCTCCTATGAAACACCTCTGAAATAGAGATGAGCTGGGAGAGAAATAAGTTTCGTAACCATTTTCTCCTCCCATGAAGCATAGGCTCTTCCCTCTTTTCAGCAATTTTTTGCACTGCTTTATGGGAAGGTGTGTGTGTTCACTGAGTGTCAGGAAAAGAAGGCATACAGCTTGTTGTCAAAGAAACCACAGCAATACTCCCTCAAAATGGGGTACTCATCCAATTGAAAGTAGGGCTGTGCTGAGGAATAACCTTCTTGCTTAGCTATCCCATTTTTGTCCTGCTCTTTGTTCAAAGTTATCAGGGAGGCATACATGACTCTCTCTCCTCCTCAGTTTTCTCCTCAAGCTACCTTGGAAGATAGTGACTGGCCCAAGGTTACCAAGCGAGCTCGGTGGTTGAATGGGGATTTGAATCCAAAGTCTTCTCACCACTTTACCACATCAGGACCACTAGAAAGGGATTAGAGGGACACATTTCTTGGGGGCCCGGGGATCCAAGGAACCAAGCAAGTCATGTGATTAGCTTTCCTGTCATGTTTGGGGTTGGTTTTAGGTGGATTAAGTGGGGCCCTGAGGGAATCTTTGCCTGAGGATTCTCACAAATCCAAACATGATTCATTTGAAATTCAAGCAAATGAGTTTTTGCCCTGAGAACAGAGATGCTACATCCCTCCTGCCACCTCAGTTGATGCAGGTTTGGGGAATAATGTCTGCGAGCCAATGCAAAATAATCAGCAAAAAAAGACTGGACGGCAGGATTATTTTGTGAATATTTTCACATTTCTCAAGTGGCAATTCTTATTGCTAAAATTCACAAAAATTTGACACACCACTGTCCCCCAGACTCTCTTCCATAACCATTCGGCCCTCAGACATTTCACTGGAAAATCATTTTGGCTCTGTATATCTCGCCCCCTCAAATATTCACACACAGAGAGATGTCCTCCCCACCCCAGATTGCTCACACCCCAAACAATGCACTCCCATAGACCATTAATCCTATCCGTCACACCGCCCAGATTGCTATTCAGCGTAAATCAAGCAGCCCAGATCTCTCTTATCCCATAATCATTTGGATGGCATATAACATTCCCGGAAAGCTCACACACCCTTCTTCCCACAAAATATCTCCGGCCCACAGCCATGGCAATTCAGCAGTCAAGGCAGAAGGCCACTGGTGATTACTGGGAAGGGAGCAGCTGTGAACAGTGAACTTCAGCGATATAAATGTTGTTTTATTTGAGATTTCCTCCTCTAATTTCCACTCAAAGTTGTGTAAAAAATCAAGACCAGATTTTCCACTCATGCAAAGCACATCTGTCAATGGAACATTAAGTTCCTCCTCCCCGCCCCCACTGCAGCCCACATATCTCCCCCAAATGTTGCTCCTGGGGAACAGGGGACTCTTTTTTAAAAAATTGAC